TAACTGCTAAGCTATAGGGCCCAAACTCTTAAAGCAATTAGTTATTTCTGAGTTTGACTATTAATTTATTGATTATTACTAGTATTATTTTTTTAGGTAAAGGTTGATGCTAAATTACACCATATTTGATATTTTAACATTCTAATTAGTTATGATTATTTATAGTTGATGTATAACTTTCACTAATACTACTTAAATGATTAGACGCTAATGATTTTCTTGTTTAGATAGAGATTGCATAAATAAAAGGCATATATTAAAATTTAGAATCATTTGTATTGCAGCTTTAGAATTAAAGGTAGAGTATATGTAAATCAATTTTCATATAATTACACAGGTCGAATAAAGACATACCAGGCAACTATCAGAATACCGATATAACCTGGAAGGTTCCCAAAGGGACAATAGAAATAAACCGATAGCTATAACTGATATTTAACCAGTATGACTCCTATATCTATCAGAAATTTGGCAGATATAGAGCATCTATTAGTAAAGAATAAAACAAAAAAAAGACAAAATTAAGGTACCTATTGGTTAAATCGATATGCTTATAGAAAATCTGATATATCTCTAAATTTAAGACTACCGGTAAACTACCAGATATTTATTGCTTTATCTTAAGCACTCACGGTTTTCCAATATAGTTATTAATTAATGTAATACTTATTTATTATTTATACGTACTCGATTAGCTACATTTTTAAAGCAATTGATTTACTATAGTATTAATACCGCTATGCTAAAAGCAATAATACATATGGAAAAATAACTATGGAAAAATAACCATCGAAATGACAAAATACAATATGTGCTAATATAAGAATATAAATTTAATTCTATGTATTGTTTTTGTAAAACTATGTTATTAATCAGTAATACCTTGAATCAACCAATTGCATCATCATTGTCAGAACTACTAGCATCTTCTTCAGTTTCTTTTTTTGGTGTATTATTACTTTCGGCACCACTGCCACTTGCACTGGCTTTTTTCAGTATTTTGACACCATTGTTACTTGCACTGGCTTTTTTCAGTATATTATTACTTCCAGCACCACTGCTACTTGTACCAGTTTTTTTCAGTGTTTTATTACTTCCAGTAGTACCACTACCACTTGCGTCGACGTTATCGTTGAGTTCTAAATCACTTTCTAGTTTGTCTACCTCATCATCATAATCATCATCATTATCATCACTATCATCACCATCATTATCTCCTTTGTCGTCTTCTTCAGAATGATATGTGGTTGAAATAGTCCAGGCAGGAGGATTATCTAGCGGTGGTTTTGATTTGTTGAACCATCTTTCATCATTGTACCACTGTCATGGGTTAATCTGTGACTTTCGTCACAAAACAACCTAGTCCAAACGGCGAGTACTTAATCGCTTTGCTATGACCGATTTTCAGTTTATATTAAGGCAAGTACTTTTATGTTTTTTACCTAAGTGAACTTTATTAATTAAGAGCGAGGACCAATACTAATT